CGGCCAGCTGCCTGTAGAGCAGCCGCAGCTCGTCCAGCGGCGGGTAGCTGTCCACGCTGAAGGCGAGCGTGTAGGTGGTGTGGTGCTATATATGTATGTATGTATGTATGTATGTATGACTCACGGCCAGCTGCCTGTAGAGCAGCCGCAGCTCGTCCAGCGGCGGGTAGCTGTCCACGCTGAAGGCGAGCGTGTAGGTGGTGTGGTGCTATATATGTATGTATGTATGTATGTATGTATGACTCACGGCCAGCTGCCTGTAGAGCAGCCGCAGCTCGTCCAGCGGCGGGTAGCTGTCCACGCTGAAGGCGAGCGTGTAGGTGGTGTGGTGCTATATATGTATGTATGTATGTATGTATGTATGACTCACGGCCAGCTGCCTGTAGAGCAGCCGCAGCTCGTCCAGCGGCGGGTAGCTGTCCACGCTGAAGGCGAGCGTGTAGGTGGTGTGGTGCTATATATGTATGTATGTATGTATGTATGTATGACTCACGGCCAGCTGCCTGTAGAGCAGCCGCAGCTCGTCCAGCGGCGGGTAGCTGTCCACGCTGAAGGCGAGCGTGTAGGTGGTGTGGTGCTATATATGTATGTATGTATGTATGTATGTATGACTCACGGCCAGCTGCCTGTAGAGCAGCCGCAGCTCGTCCAGCGGCGGGTAGCTGTCCACGCTGAAGGCGAGCGTGTAGGTGGTGTGGTGCTATATATGTATGTATGTATGTATGTATGTATGACTCACGGCCAGCTGCCTGTAGAGCAGCCGCAGCTCGTCCAGCGGCGGGTAGCTGTCCACGCTGAAGGCGAGCGTGTAGGTGGTGTGGTGCTATATATGTATGTATGTATGTATGTATGTATGACTCACGGCCAGCTGCCTGTAGAGCAGCCGCAGCTCGTCCAGCGGCGGGTAGCTGTCCACGCTGAAGGCGAGCGTGTAGGTGGTGTGGTGCTATATATGTATGTATGTATGTATGTATGTATGACTCACGGCCAGCTGCCTGTAGAGCAGCCGCAGCTCGTCCAGCGGCGGGTAGCTGTCCACGCTGAAGGCGAGCGTGTAGGTGGTGTGGTGCTATATATGTATGTATGTATGTATGTATGTATGACTCACGGCCAGCTGCCTGTAGAGCAGCCGCAGCTCGTCCAGCGGCGGGTAGCTGTCCACGCTGAAGGCGAGCGTGTAGGTGGTGTGGTGCTATATATGTATGTATGTATGTATGTATGTATGACTCACGGCCAGCTGCCTGTAGAGCAGCCGCAGCTCGTCCAGCGGCGGGTAGCTGTCCACGCTGAAGGCGAGCGTGTAGGTGGTGTGGTGCTATATATGTATGTATGTATGTATGTATGTATGACTCACGGCCAGCTGCCTGTAGAGCAGCCGCAGCTCGTCCAGCGGCGGGTAGCTGTCCACGCTGAAGGCGAGCGTGTAGGTGGTGTGGTGCTATATATGTATGTATGTATGTATGTATGTATGACTCACGGCCAGCTGCCTGTAGAGCAGCCGCAGCTCGTCCAGCGGCGGGTAGCTGTCCACGCTGAAGGCGAGCGTGTAGGTGGTGTGGTGCTATATATGTATGTATGTATGTATGTATGTATGACTCACGGCCAGCTGCCTGTAGAGCAGCCGCAGCTCGTCCAGCGGCGGGTAGCTGTCCACGCTGAAGGCGAGCGTGTAGGTGGTGTGGTGCTATATATGTATGTATGTATGTATGTATGTATGACTCACGGCCAGCTGCCTGTAGAGCAGCCGCAGCTCGTCCAGCGGCGGGTAGCTGTCCACGCTGAAGGCGAGCGTGTAGGTGGTGTGGTGCTATATATGTATGTATGTATGTATGTATGTATGACTCACGGCCAGCTGCCTGTAGAGCAGCCGCAGCTCGTCCAGCGGCGGGTAGCTGTCCACGCTGAAGGCGAGCGTGTAGGTGGTGTGGTGCTATATATGTATGTATGTATGTATGTATGTATGACTCACGGCCAGCTGCCTGTAGAGCAGCCGCAGCTCGTCCAGCGGCGGGTAGCTGTCCACGCTGAAGGCGAGCGTGTAGGTGGTGTGGTGCTATATATGTATGTATGTATGTATGTATGTATGACTCACGGCCAGCTGCCTGTAGAGCAGCCGCAGCTCGTCCAGCGGCGGGTAGCTGTCCACGCTGAAGGCGAGCGTGTAGGTGGTGTGGTGCTATATATGTATGTATGTATGTATGTATGTATGACTCACGGCCAGCTGCCTGTAGAGCAGCCGCAGCTCGTCCAGCGGCGGGTAGCTGTCCACGCTGAAGGCGAGCGTGTAGGTGGTGTGGTGCTATATATGTATGTATGTATGTATGTATGTATGACTCACGGCCAGCTGCCTGTAGAGCAGCCGCAGCTCGTCCAGCGGCGGGTAGCTGTCCACGCTGAAGGCGAGCGTGTAGGTGGTGTGGTGCTATATATGTATGTATGTATGTATGTATGTATGACTCACGGCCAGCTGCCTGTAGAGCAGCCGCAGCTCGTCCAGCGGCGGGTAGCTGTCCACGCTGAAGGCGAGCGTGTAGGTGGTGTGGTGCTATATATGTATGTATGTATGTATGTATGTATGACTCACGGCCAGCTGCCTGTAGAGCAGCCGCAGCTCGTCCAGCGGCGGGTAGCTGTCCACGCTGAAGGCGAGCGTGTAGGTGGTGTGGTGCTATATATGTATGTATGTATGTATGTATGTATGACTCACGGCCAGCTGCCTGTAGAGCAGCCGCAGCTCGTCCAGCGGCGGGTAGCTGTCCACGCTGAAGGCGAGCGTGTAGGTGGTGTGGTGCTATATATGTATGTATGTATGTATGTATGTATGACTCACGGCCAGCTGCCTGTAGAGCAGCCGCAGCTCGTCCAGCGGCGGGTAGCTGTCCACGCTGAAGGCGAGCGTGTAGGTGGTGTGGTGCTATATATGTATGTATGTATGTATGTATGTATGACTCACGGCCAGCTGCCTGTAGAGCAGCCGCAGCTCGTCCAGCGGCGGGTAGCTGTCCACGCTGAAGGCGAGCGTGTAGGTGGTGTGGTGCTATATATGTATGTATGTATGTATGTATGTATGACTCACGGCCAGCTGCCTGTAGAGCAGCCGCAGCTCGTCCAGCGGCGGGTAGCTGTCCACGCTGAAGGCGAGCGTGTAGGTGGTGTGGTGCTATATATGTATGTATGTATGTATGTATGTATGACTCACGGCCAGCTGCCTGTAGAGCAGCCGCAGCTCGTCCAGCGGCGGGTAGCTGTCCACGCTGAAGGCGAGCGTGTAGGTGGTGTGGTGCTATATATGTATGTATGTATGTATGTATGTATGACTCACGGCCAGCTGCCTGTAGAGCAGCCGCAGCTCGTCCAGCGGCGGGTAGCTGTCCACGCTGAAGGCGAGCGTGTAGGTGGTGTGGTGCTATATATGTATGTATGTATGTATGTATGTATGACTCACGGCCAGCTGCCTGTAGAGCAGCCGCAGCTCGTCCAGCGGCGGGTAGCTGTCCACGCTGAAGGCGAGCGTGTAGGTGGTGTGGTGCTATATATGTATGTATGTATGTATGTATGTATGACTCACGGCCAGCTGCCTGTAGAGCAGCCGCAGCTCGTCCAGCGGCGGGTAGCTGTCCACGCTGAAGGCGAGCGTGTAGGTGGTGTGGTGCTATATATGTATGTATGTATGTATGTATGTATGACTCACGGCCAGCTGCCTGTAGAGCAGCCGCAGCTCGTCCAGCGGCGGGTAGCTGTCCACGCTGAAGGCGAGCGTGTAGGTGGTGTGGTGCTATATATGTATGTATGTATGTATGTATGTATGACTCACGGCCAGCTGCCTGTAGAGCAGCCGCAGCTCGTCCAGCGGCGGGTAGCTGTCCACGCTGAAGGCGAGCGTGTAGGTGGTGTGGTGCTATATATGTATGTATGTATGTATGTATGTATGACTCACGGCCAGCTGCCTGTAGAGCAGCCGCAGCTCGTCCAGCGGCGGGTAGCTGTCCACGCTGAAGGCGAGCGTGTAGGTGGTGTGGTGCTATATATGTATGTATGTATGTATGTATGTATGACTCACGGCCAGCTGCCTGTAGAGCAGCCGCAGCTCGTCCAGCGGCGGGTAGCTGTCCACGCTGAAGGCGAGCGTGTAGGTGGTGTGGTGCTATATATGTATGTATGTATGTATGTATGTATGACTCACGGCCAGCTGCCTGTAGAGCAGCCGCAGCTCGTCCAGCGGCGGGTAGCTGTCCACGCTGAAGGCGAGCGTGTAGGTGGTGTGGTGCTATATATGTATGTATGTATGTATGTATGTATGACTCACGGCCAGCTGCCTGTAGAGCAGCCGCAGCTCGTCCAGCGGCGGGTAGCTGTCCACGCTGAAGGCGAGCGTGTAGGTGGTGTGGTGCAGCGCGAGGGGCGCGGAGGTGAAGCGCGCGGGGGAGGGGCGCCCCGACACCTCCACGTGCCGCCGCGACCGGCCCAGGCTGTTGTCCGCCACGCAGCTGCACGAGGGGACAGACACGTGGAGCCAACCATAGCCAAGGGTAGAGTCGAAGCTCATAGTCGACATATCAGTATCAAAGTAAATATTCAACAGAAAAGTCATTTTTTATAGAAAAGGCATAGTTGAAAGACTAATTTCAGCTTGGTCATTGGGAAGATTAAGGAGAAATCATTAATTTAAAAAAGTCAAAATCAAAGTCAACGGATCGCAAAAGACAGTAAACATTGAAGTGATAAAACAAAAGAAAAGTCAAAAGCGAACGGTAAAAGTAAATATCGAAGTAACAATATAAACAAGCCATATATCAAATTTCTAAGTCAAAGATTAGCTAAGAATGTTACAGAAGAAAGTTGTGATTCGATTGAATAGAAAATCAAGGATCCAAATCAAGAATTGAAGTTTTAATTAAATAAAATGATAAAAAGGAGAATCTTTGACACACTAAAAACTGGCTTCAATACTGAGATAGTCAAAATTTTAGATAGTTATATCGATGGTGACCTGTGAAATGTTATATAGGTGTATGTGGTAAACCTTTTAATGGCAAAAAAAAAAGAAATGAAACATCTCAATGTTGTAAATATTTTTGAAAATATTAATTTATTTTGAGAAATGCCGAAAAAGCCAAAACGAATTTTTAAGTGTGTTTATGAATTTACCAGTTACTAACAAGGTCTTGACACTTATTTTTTTTCATTGAATTAATTCCTTAATATCTTTGGCGTGACGACTACTACAATAAAATGGTTGGCCGATTACTACAATAATTTTTAGTGAAGGCCCGATTTGCCATCAGATTTTGGAACGCATATACCTACCTATAATTGCCAAAGTCCTCAGGTTGAACGTTGGCGATTAGTAGAGTGTGATTGTTGCCGCGAGCTGACATTGTTATACGATCGGTGGCACTCAAAGGAAACGAGTTTTGGTACCACGTCACCTGAAATCATAAATAAACAATAGAAAATAATGGGCAAAAGCAGAATAGTAATATCTTATAATTCCGAGAGAAGAGTTTTTCATGCATTCGACACTATTACTCATAATTTGCTTAAATCTAAATTGTATTTTAGATTAGACGGGCTTTTAATAGGTTTTCCGCTTACCTAAATAGACTTTCACTGTATGTCTCAGTGTGAAGTGAAACTGGAAAGCTCAAATCAAGTCACACGTGTTATCATGCTTATGTAAAGAGTCCCACAGGGATCAATATTTGGTCTCATTCGATTCTATACATAAAAAAGTGCCTATCAGATCAATTGCTTACACAATAGGCAATATTCATAAATTAAAATGGTTAATATTTTCCGAACATATTACAGAAACCCGAATTTTCACTTGTTACAACCCTATTCCAAATATCACGTCAAAGTTGATGATTGAAAGGTTGAATATCGGTTAATAATATATATCGGTAGACACATGATCGGTTATATCTGCAGTTATCAAAGATAGGGACCGTATTTATAGTACCGCTATAATTCTACAAATAGTTTTATTGTTATCTTGATAAATGGCTCCAAAATTGACTGATTTTTGGTAAAGATAACAACTAACACTGCCATTATTTTTCATGCTAATTCGTGGAGCGAGGTTGTTGAATTAGCTCAGGTGGGACTTAACGTAATCAGCAGTTGGTCACAAAGTAACTTACTTACTTGTAATTCTTTCAAAACTAAGTTTATTGCCTTTAGAATATCTGAACGATCGGCTCCCAACCAATCTATACATATAAAACTTCACACTTGTCAAAGAATTCCACATAATAAGGCAAACGCGTCATGCCAATGTACATTACTTGAACAAGTTAATAACATCAAATACTTAGGAGTTATTATTGACAAGAATTTGATATGGACCATGGCCCAAGTTGATGCACTAACCAAAAGGGTAAAAAAATTAACACATTTAAAAAAAAACTGGGATCCGTGGCTAACCCCGAAGTATTAAAAATAGTTTACCAAAGTCTATGTCAATCGAATATAGGATATTGTATAGTAGTATGGGGTGCCACTTATGCAATACATCTAATGAAGTTACAAAGAACTCAAAGGGCGTTATTAAAAATAGCATATAAAAAACCATGGCGTTATTTAACTAATCGTTTTTATACCGAAACAGAACATCCTCGAGTATGCGCACTATATATTACATCTACTCTTTTACGTTTCCACAAGCAGGCAAAAGATCTTGCTGGTGAATCATATAGAACATTGAAACGGGATCGACCTAAAACTCGTTCAGTGTTCGCTCGTAGATCCCACGATGTCATGGGAACTTATCTTTCTTCTAAGTTATATTGGATAAATAAAAATGTAATAAATATGAGAAGGCCTATTTGCAAGAGATTTGTTTATCAATGGCTACAACCTAAAAATTACCAAGAAATTAAGGAAATATTGCATGTGATCATATGACCGGTTTAAATTAAATTGATAAAACAAGTAGTAGTGACATTTTTATATAATTTTTTTTTATTAATTTTATGTGTATGTATATGTATATGTCGCATCATCATTACGAAGATCGTTTGATTTAGTTTCTTTTATTTTAATTGCTAGTTACTCGATTACTTAATTACTCGATTGTAAAGAGAGCGTGATCATCGATACTTTTAATTTTATTAGAATGGTGACACTGACTTTGACAGTTCGTTTATAAAAACCAAGTTGCCGCCATTTTGGCACACATTCTGTTTCCGATCGCCGAGGAGTAAAGACATCTGACGACATCACGCTCATCTCGTTATATTTTCGTGTGAAAAATGATAAAATGTAACAAATCCACGTTGGTAAACACGCGTGCAGTGTTATTTTAAAGATAGTCCTCCGATATGGACAATCTATTTGGGCTTCGTAATAGCCCCTTCGGACTACCCGCCGTTATATATATAGAAAGCATATAAACTATATATATTATATTATTGATGGTATGGTATATTTATTTTAAACATCTAGGTTAGGAATTGGAGTTTGTGATAATTCTGAGAATCAGTATTGGGATGGAACTGGATTTCACCACACAGGGTATCCTAGCGTGGAATCCAGAGTAACTAAATATGTATTGCAAACTTTTTACAGTACTGTTACAAATGTAACGTTCAAATTGTGATAGTGTGTAAATTATATAGTTTTAGATTTAATTGCTGTCTAAGTTTGTAAATCACGGTTTTTGTTAAGCTTTATGACACAATTCCTTTGTCGGTACATATTCTTCTGTCATAAAATATATTCTTAAATAGCTATCGCTTTCGCTATGGCTTTAAATTAGACGCTGGCGCCATTTTATTGGTACATTCTAGTATACTCCAACATCTTATGTGACTTACCTCAGCAGGTGGATCTGCTAGAACAGTACACAGCAATTCGGCCCTGAATCCCTCGCCCGTGTGGACCCAGGACCTCTCTACTGTTATCTCAGGAGGGTCTGGGGAACGATATTAAAAACTCATTGAATTTTGAAACTTATTGAATCCGAAGCATATGAATATTATGGCGCAAGAGCATCCGTTTAGATGAAAAATTTGTAAGTTACAAGTTCAACTTTTCAACTGTAGATTACGGTTTAAAATTACTTTCAGAAGTTTTACACATGCTGTTGACTGTTTATACAAGAGCAAACTGTTATTAATCAGCGAAGGTCAAAGTGTAAAAAGCTTTAAAATAATATAGAAGCGACTTCGAATCTTAAAAATGTGATAAAAATATTTATCTTGAAGCGACTTTTTCAAGTAAATGCTATTAAAGTCGAGCGGAGGTTTTCGGTAGGTTATTAATTTTGAAGATTGAAGTCTGTTCTATTTCTTTAAGTTTATATTTCATGCTTTTTAGTGATATTGATATTTTTTTATATAACAGGTAACACTAAAAATACTCATTTTGAAAACTGCGTCTAAATCAGTTCAGCCAAACACGAGATGATCGCGAACGAACATTAATACATACAGGTCAAACCGAGAACCTTCTTTTTTGAAATCGGTTAAAAAGAAATAATTAAAGAAATAAGTTCTTTCTTAGGGGTTCATACTTGACATTTCTAACTGTTATCACTAAAGCACTAAAAAAGCACCTCCACTAGATGGCGACTCTAGCAAAAGTTGATTTTTGCACGAAACGAATGGACCAAAGACAGTCATTTCCGTTGCTTTTAACTAAACATATAAAAAAAACGGAAATTTGCAAAGTTCTAAACTTAGATATGAATGTGAGTCGTTTATTGAGTTTTGAAAACTAATTTACTTTTAAACTTGAAAAAAAACCCGAAAAATTGTCATGTACTATAATGTATAACTTGGAAATATATAAATAAAACAAGGGTAGACATACAGCCCCTGAGAGCTGTCTGTTGCAACTCCGCCGCCATATCGAATGGCCGATATCGCAAATCCATTCCAACTAAATCTTGAAGCGCGAAAGTGTATACAGTAAAAACTTAGAAGATCAACGCTGTGTGAAAGAGCAGTAGGAAGGTTACAAAATTATCCCAGAACAACGCGGGAGACTTACAACCGGCGGCTTAATGCCCTGAGCTATCATCATCATCAGCCTTTTTAAGTCCCCATTGCAGGGGCTCAGGCTTCATTATGGATGGTTAAGGAAGATGGGCCATGACCCTCCACGCTGGCCCAATGCGGATTGGAGGGTTTTAACGACTGCAAATGTAACCGGGACCAACGGCTTAACGTGCCTTCCGAAGCACGGCGTAGCTCGAGATAATAATCTTTCGGTCACCCATCCCGTGACCGACCCTTGCGAAAGTTGCTTTACAACGCGGGCCGCGGCGCTTATCCTCTACGCCATTGAGCTACTTCACATGGCTATCGAAAAAACTAAAAGTAAGTCCAAACTCCTTTCTGTCTCACACAGGTGGTCTTAAATACTCACAGAGCACTTGCAGCTGGAACTCAGTGACTATAGGTGGCCCCACGCCGTTGTCGACGGTGCAGGCGTACCGGCCGCTGTGCTGCCGCTCCAGCCGGGACAGCTGCAGCTGCGGGCCCTCCCCCAGGCGGGCGTTAGTGTCATTCTGGAAGGACACCTGGAAAATGGAAACATAAATAATAAATATATATTGGACAATATCACATACATTGCTCAGATTCCAAGATGAGTAGCTAAAGCCCTCGTGTTATGGAGTATCTGAGACAACAAAGGTACCACGTCACCCAGACCAGAGACAATATAGAAAAGGTAATTTCCTACACTGACCCGATCGGGAATACCCGGGACCTTAGAGGTAGCAACAACTGGCATGCAAACCACTCGGCCATGGAGGTCGTTTAAATAAGGAAAGATACCTGGAAAATGAAAATAAATTTCGCCCAGACCAGAGACAATATGGAAAAGGTAAAATTCTACATTGACCTAGAATACCCGGGACCTCAGAGGTAGCAAGACCTTGAAACTGGCGTGCAAACCACTCGGCCATGGAGGTCGTTAAAATAAAAAAGACACCTGGAGAATAAAAACAAATTTTGAATTGATGTTGAAGACGTCAGTTTCCTGATTTGATATTTTAATTGGTGTCTTATTTTAGTTTAATTGTAAAAAATGTTTGTCTAAATTCAATTTACGGAAATAAAGTTATAAAAAAACCCCTTATATTTCCTTCGCCCTGTAGTCTACTTAATACGTAGACCTTGACCAGTCACTGTATACATTTTTTTCGTCAGAGAATTGTATTATTCGCTTTTCTGCTTGACAAGTGGCCAGTATAAATCCATGCTCGAAGGCATACCATTCAAAACCCATATATTGTACCTTCTTAAGGGGGGGTAAGATCTGGGAAGACGTTAAAAATGGCTATTGTAGATATAACTTAAATGCCCGCTCTACACTTAGGTAAACCTTGTGGAAATAGTTTCGCCAATATGTTGGCGTGAGATCCAATGAAGAAAACTGAAGGCAAATGAATGTGACGCCTTCACAATCTTTGATACAACATTCGCTAGAGCGCATATAAGAATATTTAATATGATGTAGACCAGGAGCTCGATGGGGCAGTGGTAAGAGGGTTCGGTCTGCGATACCGGTAATTAAACAACTCTCGCAATGGTCAGTCAGGATTGATCGCCGAAAATTTATTACCTCGAGATCTCCATGCTTCGGAAGGCATGTTAAGCCGCCAATCTCCACTGGCCCGGCATGGTGGGTGACCAATCCTCCCCATTCAATTCTATAATCCCAGCAGTGAAAACATACTTACAAGTTTATGCCACGTGACGGTAGGCACAGGGTTGCCAGCCGCTCGACACTCTAGCACAGCGGCGCCCCCGCGGCGCGCGGCCGCGTGTCGAGACTCCGGCGACGCGCGCACAGATGGCGGCACCAGCACCTCCACCGTGTGCACCTGATCGCGCGCCACACGATCAGATATCTGACAGACGTAGTCGCCTGCGTCCTGTAACAGAATAATAAATGACGTACAGAAAAACCAACAGAATTATTATTGTTTACAGGATTGCTATACCTTATGGCGAGATTGTACGCAATTAGCAATTTTTAAATTTTACTCTAAGCCTATGCTAATTTTTGTCAAATAATTGCTTAAAACATAAACGCATTTGAATAATTGTCTCGATAGAAAAAAATCGCAAAAATGTCTCTAATTAGTATTTTGGATCGATTTTACGACTAGTGTTTTTCATCTTAATTAAATAAAAATATATACAAATATAGTGATGTTGAGTGTAGTTCGGATCTGATCTGACCAATGCAGAGGACTTCTTCCTCGTGGTCTTCGTCCATCTATTTTTCCCGCACTCCATCTATCGCCTCACTTTCTAGCGATGTATCCAATGAATTCGAAACTTCTCCATAGACAAGTGGTGGATAATCTCATTTTTATCTTAGTTCGGTCAGTGAATTTAGAGCATCTTATTTTACCAAAATTATTTTGTCTCCTTCCCACTTTGAAAATAAATTATTTTTAGCGCCTCCATTTTAACAAACTACTTAACAAACTACTTAAGACCACTATAACTACAAATTAAAATAATCATTGTTAACTATATTAGCGGAGATTAAACATTCATACTAAACGAGACCTTTACTATAACCCGCAAGAATTTATTTGAGACCTGAGCGCAGTAGGTAGTACATGAGTTTCAAGTTAACTCTTCGTAAGCCTCCATACGACGCCCCCATTTTCTTTTGGGTTTCTTACCACCCCTTCTAGGCCTGCAGCACCCATGAAGAGGCGTTGTCGCCCACTTCGGAAAGGTCGTATTTTTTGAGGGTCCAGGTTTCAGCCCCATACAAAAAGAATGGAGAAGACGAGAGTGTTGACGAGTCTTTTCTTTGTTTTTCGAGAGATGCTTCTATCAGCCCATACCTTTCCCACTGAGACATGGCGCTCTTAGCGTCTTCTTTAGTCTTTTTCACACGACCCATCGAGTCCGATGATATCCGTTAAAGCTAACGGGCTATAACGGATATCATAATATTCGACTTTAACCCAACGTCGTAAAGTTATAGTTAGGCAACTGCAATAACTAAGAAAATGGTGGATTAGATATTTGGATCGAGTACTATGTAATATTAGTGTGGCGACTGATACATAGCGACATCTAACGCATCGCACTAACATCGCCACAACAATCGATAGCGAGAAGACTAGCATCGTCATTTCCATCGATAGCAAGCCGAACTGCAAAAAGTTTTAACAGCAAGTAACGAGATGGCGCTGTACCAATACAAACATCATAAATTAATAACTTCAAGACATTTAGAACAAAGAATCATGTAGGTTTCTTTGTTACAGAATAAGTTTCATTACCAATTAACATAAATAGAACGTCCAACCTACATCGGTTGGACCGCGATCACCGGGCTAACAACACCTAGCTCGGAAGGAGACAATTATCCTTTAGTCTACCTGGCCAGTTGTCTCCATCACCACAGTTAGGAACCAACCTTCAACCTAATGGTTCTTAAACTAGGAATAAGTACACCTAGTATCACCGAGCTACTCAACTAACTTGTTTTGACCACCTAATTTTCTTGAGGCTGCCACTGTCAATAGGAATGTAATAGGTAAAAAAAAAGAAAAATGTCAGATACTTATTTTTTTGCTACAACTTAACAAGAAATGCCTTAGATAACAGGCATTAAAGTTGAGGAGTAAGGGCGCGCTATGTCACAACTATGTAGAAAATGTACAAAGGTCTTACGTCATACGATACTGTAACTCAACGTATTGACGCAATTTATTGATTACGCAAAAATATACGCGTTTAATATTAATTAAGCTACCTGACAGAAAAATAATCAAAAATTAGTCATTATCCTTATTGTTAAATACTAGCTGTTCTCCCGCAACGTTGCTCACGTTAATTGATTACTTGTCTGTTTCGGAAAAGTATTTAAAAACATCTATATGATCTTAATAAACTACTGTTTGATTTATTTTTCTCCAAAACGTGTTATTATATAAATGAGAAACCGCTTTTATTTATTATTACGAAATTTTTATACATCAATTAAAAATTGTGCGCGTAAACTATCAGTTACGTGACATTTGGAGCGGTGACGTCACATTTCACAAAACATGAGTAATTTAACGTTAACGTTTAGATTATTGAAATGTGAAGTCA